AGCATCTGATGAGGCGGCTCTTGGAGTTTTCGAGAGAAAGATTCTGCGAAAGATTTACGGACCTTTACGCGTTGGTGATGGCGAATATCGCAGACGATTTAACGATGAGCTGTATGAGCTTTACAACGATATAGACATAGTGCAGCGAATTAAAATTCAGCGGCTCCGCTGGCTTGGCCATGTCGTTCGGATGGACAGAAACGCTCCTGCTCTGAAAATATTCAACGCGGGCCGCGATGCTGGGAACAGAGGAAGAGGAAGGCCTCCTCTGCGTTGGAAAGACCAGGTGGAGAAGGACTTGGCTTCACTTGGCATTTTCAATTGGCGTCAGTTAGCACAGAAGGGAAATGACTGGCGTGCTGTTTTGGACTCGGCCAAAATCGCTTAGGCGGTTACAGCGCCAAATAAGAAGAAGAAGAAGAACTTATTTTAAATAAATTATTAAAAATTAATCTAATAAAAGCCAAAAAAATTTTTTATCGATTTTACTAATCGGGCAGGTTCTGAAATTCACTTCCGAGTGAATTTCAACCAAAGCCACTTTGAGTTCAAATTGAATGGGATTGAAATGCACTCGGAACTGAATTGCAGAATCTACCTGAATATTATTTTTCTCCAAATAAGGAAGAGGGTCTCCGTAAAAAAAAGCCATGGGGGTATATTATTAGCTTTGGTCTATTTTATAAGGTAACTTTTTCTCTATGTAGATCAGAAATCACTGCACAGCAGTTTTAATTTTTGATGAAAATGCAAAAGCAATTTCATGAATTTCGTGTAAAATAACAAAAAATAAAATTCAATAAAACATCAAATATCGCTTTCAATCATTAATAGCCGATTTCACCAGCAATTTAAATGGAAACTGATTTCTGATTTTCTGTTAAATTCCATATAAAATTCATAAAATTAAAATTATTTTTCACTTAAATTTCTTTCGTGAAATTGGCTGTAAAAACTACTTTCGAATATCATTTTATATGCATAGTGCGATAGCTACGGAAACTATTACTTTCCAAAATTAATTGCATTGCCACGTTGTTGTTGTTGTAGCGGCTTACTGAGCCCTGCCTAGACCGGCTTGTACATCAGTCGCTGTGGTCAAGCTCAACTAAAGGGAGACCAAGATGTACGCAACTCCAACTGCATGCCGGGCATTCGTTGGGCATATCTGCGTTAATTCTGCTCAGAGCGAAGTTGAGCTATGGTAGTGCGAGTCTCCCCAGGCAGACAAAGCTCTATCCCGACCACGTCGTGTGGTTCTGTTCCCAAAACGGCATTAAAAGGTCGGGAGTCGATGAATGTCATTTAGGGCGTATCGTGTCCAGAGGTTGGTTTATGAACCGCTTGTAATTACCCCGTCTGACAGCATACTATGTCGACAAAAACCAAAAAAAAATCACAACACACAGAGAAGTGAACCAACTCACCAAACTAGGTGTCAAAATAGTAAAACTGCGTTTTTTTTAAAGGATTTTGAAATTTCAAGGATGTGATCAATTCAAAGAATGATAAAAAAATCAGTGTATTGCAGAATAAGTAAAATAGCAATATGGATATATAACAAAAAAATCTCTAGAATTGAAAAAATAAAATTTTTCGGTTCACAATGACGAATAGGTATTGAAAATGTTCTTTCAATTAAATGTTTTTTTTTTCTGATTTCGTTTCTACCAAAAAATGTCGTCTTTTGATTGCCCCTTTCTCTTTTCGTGTTCGATTCTAAATTAAAGGCAAAGGGTGAGAATATTTTGTGTTCATTTCTTAAAATGCCTCACTCTTTTAAGGCAAAAAGGCACCTTTTCTGCCCTTTGAAGCTTTGTCAGGGGAGATGGTTGCCTTGAAAATCAGATGGTTGCTTAAAATGATAATATGACGATATGCGTGAGCTGGACAAGGATAAGAAGGCAAAAACATGCCTTTTCAAAGGGTTGAGTGTAACATCAAACACATATTGCACCGGGCAAGGGCAACATTTTTTGATAGAACCGAAATCACCATAATGAAATTCCAAGGGTAAAGGTTTAAAAGGTCATATTCAATATCTATTTACTTGCGCACCGTGAAATTTAATTTTTCAAGCTCTACAGAATTATTAATTTCTTTTAATTTTAAAAACCTTAAAAAAAATCTGCTGTCCGAGAGAAACGTAACGTTACTATATTTGGCCTCTAGTTTTGTGAATCAGACTGATCCCAGTTGCTTCTATATGACGAATACACACAATTTATTTTTATATGGAAGAAAACCGAAACATCCTGCACAAAAACAAAAAATCTAATAAATCGACCGTAATTTTTAGCTATATGAAACTTGTACTTTGTTCTACTAGAATTCAATGGGCTAGAAAACTGCGTACTCAGAATCTTTCTAGGAAATCTAATTAAACAAGTTAGCAATTTTTACCAAATTTCGTTGAATTTTTTTTTTTATGTAATTATTTTGACCACTGTACTTATACGTCGCAGTCAAGCCGGGCATTCCAAAAGGAGTTTTGTTCTATCTCAAGACAATTTCTTTTACGGAGGGTTAATTGTATTGTTTTTCATGAAATAACATATACATAGTACTTATTTACTCTTCCCCCTTAATTCACAGATTTACGTTTTGTGTGGACTATAGTAAAAAAAATTGCTGCTTAGAATTTTATAGAAAATTAATACTCTGTTTTTTAGAAAGAGGGTCAAAAAGCATATACCTAAATATAATTAAAAATATGCGAGTGTTTAATACAACATACATAAATATTTGCTTCTTAAACTAAACTTTTTTGAATCTCCTTCCCTTTTTTGTTCCATTTTTTCTTTGTCTGAAATCGAGATATCCGCGTTCAACTTCCTGTTCGACCAACTTCTTATGCGAAAAGAAACAACACCAACTTTCAGTTGTTTTTTTTTTTGGGACTTCGCTACTTTCCCATTCGTTAGTCCATATTTACATTCATTCCCACCTGTGCACTCCTTTTTTCATTTGTCTACTTTGACTTATTTAACGCCAACAATAGCGGATCGGAAAATGGTGGTGGAAAGTATGTAGGTAATTCGATATGGAAATGAAAAAAAAATATAAGTAATGTGGAAGTAAAAAACAAAAACAAGAAAAGCCTAGTGAAGCGTAGCTACATATAAGAAAACGTGTTTCTTTAATATCCATACGCGTATGAATGTGGATATAGTATATTTGAATATGCACATACGCGTATTTGGATTATATCAACTTACATATGTACAATAGGATGCCCCACTGACAAAATTGCAATTGTGTTTCCACAACGATTCATAATATTTGGTCTATATTATGAACCCCCGCTAAATCATAACCGGCCTATCAACTTAACTTCTTTCGATAAAACTGCCTATGGTTCTATCTCGAGCGCATTAGTGCAAAGAGGGATATATCCATCCACTGTGAAACGAACTTCCTGCGCTTAATCCCAGATGTGTATGTACATTAGGATGGTTCAAAAAAAGTAAAGCCGGGATTTTAATGCTGGGATTGATTTGTAGCGAAAAAATATACCCCTGTGTTTTTTATTTTGAAATTAAAAGGTATGTAGGGGTCGCTTAAAACGCTCAAAGATCCTCAATGCGTTTTTTTAATGGGAAGGAAAACAATTTTTTTAGAAATGGTATAGAATTCTTGAAAATCAATATTTTTCGGTCGCAAAGCTCTGCTTCTTCTCAGGAGACATCCAATAAGCGATTTGAGTTACCACCAAAAAATTTTTTGATTTCAAAATAAAAAACAGGAGTATATTTTTTTCGGTATAGAGGATGAGAGCATTAAGATTCCGACTTTTATTTTTTTACCACCCTGATGCACATTGCAAAACAAGCTTCGGACCGTTGCACAGAGGGCAATTTTCGACCGATTTTGTTCAAAAATTGCTGGAAGAGTAAATTGTTTACCAAACGAATAACATTTTTTTTATAATATTGGAAAGGATTTTAGAAAAATATTTTCATCAGCATATGGTAAAAGTAGATAGATATTGGCTCTTTTTAGGGCGTGACTAGGGCTGAAAAATTATTGTTATGAAAATCCTCAAACCGAGAAGGCATGATAACAATTTTTTCGCATTTTCACTCAATAAACCAGTGCTTCGAATTCGTTTTTCAAGCGAGATAAATCTAATGCTTTTAAAAACTGTGCCGATATTTTCAAAACTCTACTATTTTTATCGCTATCGATATTGACATCGATAACCTAATGAAAACCATATCAACAACAAAGATAAAAATAATCAATATAAATAAGACCTTACATTCATCGATAGCTAGCCGATAAATATCTATAACGGTTAATAGCTCGATAAAGTTCTCCATATTGATAAAAAAAAAATACTAATACTGATGTGATGGAAATGCAAATTTTCAATTCAAAACAATGTTACATATCGCCCGATTTTACGTCTTTTTGGCGGTTAGGGCTCGACATGGTAATATGTATTGAGCATCGTGAATACCCCTATTGCGATTTTACTTTTCCTTGTTTATAATAAATAACTGCAGCTTGAAATTTTTTTTTTAAGTTTTTAATTCAGTGGCATTAATACCATATATCACAATTGGAAGGAAGGTTGAACTCTTGAACGATCGCAGTTGTATGCTGTCGTATTAAAATGCGCTCAAATGAATTATCAAAAAACAATAAATCATAGGCTTCGCAATTGTGATAAGCGCCGCAAGCCGGAGTATGATTACATACGTATTTCCATAAACAAATTTCCAATTAAATGCATAAATTCATGGCCGGCAAAAGGCAACAATTAAAGCAGTTTACCACCGTTGAAGCATTGAAATAAAAATTTTTTAATTTTCATATTTATAATCCCATTAAAAGAAATTGATATTGCTTTTATCTATATCAGCCATTTATTCAACTGTGGTGATAACGAGAGTTTTTGGCAATATACATTCTAGTCAGTAGCTTCGTGTCGAGCAAGCAATAAACAAAGCGTTGCACTTCTGTGCAAAGTAATCGACAGACAGACATACATATTTTAAGTACCGCAAAACATTACCAGTAATATCTTAAACAAAATCTACTTTTAGGCTAGCGGCTACCCACTCCAGGTTTGCAGGCACCGCGCACCGCTTAAAACCCCCAAATGAATCCGATAAGCGATGACGCGCCACCCATACTGCGTCCACTATCACCTGCCTTGCAAAAAATCGCCGTCGAGGAGCTGGACGAAGTGCCGAATCGCGTGGCCGACGATGTTCTCGCTTTCCGCCAATGGATAAACAAGCAACCACATTTATGCGCGCGCACTAATGATCAATTTCTTGTTGGCTTTCTGCGCGGTTCCAAGAACAGTTTGGAGAAGGCGAAAAAGAAAATCGATCGTTATTATACACTGAAAGCAGCCTTGCCAGAGGTATTCAACGAGCGACGGCAGATCGATGATCCTATGGTGTTGGAAATTGTGCGTTTAGGGTATGGCAGAGAAATACGTATGATGAAGCCTTAGTATTTGTAATCAATTGCCTACTTTATTTACAGCGTCATACTGCAGATACAACTCCCAGCCGACTATCATGGACCCTGTATTACTATTATACGCGCCTGCTCGTACGACACTACCAAATACAAATTCGCCGATATTATACGGGTCGGATCGATGTTTGGCGAAATTATGACCATCGAGGATGATAACTCTACGGTCAGCGGTTATATTGAGGTTATGGACATGAGCAATGTAAGCGGTCAACATTTTCTGCAGTTAAGACCGGATTTGCTGCGCAAATTCGCGGTTTTCGCGGAGGAGGCGATGCCGATGCGTCAACGTGGCACACATTTTATCAATGTGCCGGCGCCCTTCGAGAAGGGCTTCAGAACGTTGAGCACATTGTTTCCAGAGAAAATGTTGAGCAGGGTGAGTGTAAGATTTACTATTTTTTATTTATTCTGCAAGAGCCATTTTTTTATTTTTTATTTTTTCAAAAAATTTGTAACCCCCTTTGTTAACAGATTTCCGTCAACTCTAACCCAGAGGCGTTGTTCGACTTTGTACCGCGCGAGTACCTGCCTCAGGAATATGGTGGCGAAAATGGCACCATAGACGATATTATTGAACGCATGGAAGCGAAATTGCTGCGCTATCGCGACTACTTTTTGTTGGAGCCGAAGTTCGGCACAAATGAAAAGCTGCGTGAGGGTGGGCTTTTCAACTATGAGAACTGTTTTGGTTTGGAGGGTTCATTCCGTAAATTGGAGGTTGACTAGCTAAAGTACTTATTTATTTAGAAAGTAGTAAAATTGTAAGGGTATACAAAATCAAAATTTTGTAATTTGGATTTATGTCATTTAAAAATGCATAATTGATAATGGGAACCTGAACGCATCTGAAAACGTTTTTTGAAGTCTCGTGGATACCAGTTATTAATCGTTTTTAGAAAAACAAAAAACCATATATACAAGGAAATTGCAATTAAAATATCAATGTTTGATTTTAAAATATGAAAAAAGTAAGTTCTTCATAAAATAATTCAATAACTTTTGAATCAAAATCCTGACTGTATTTGCCGCAGTTTGTTTTTGTAAGTATATAAGTTTAAGTTATAAAATTTAAATAAATGCATACATATGTACCATACCTAAATAGCAAGTTGTAATTTCAAATGAAAAAACACCTTTTGAGCAAATTTTATATTTTCGACTGAAGGCCCTCACCCCTTTCGCTGAGTGTATAAAATTTCATAGTAAATTTTCAAATTTTGTTTACCCCGTTTAAAATATTTTCACACGGAAACGCCCTTAGTTAAAGTGCAAGTTTATTAAAATTAAAAATTTGTTTACAGAAACTTCCGTAAACCTCTTTCTTGTGATCCATCTTCAATTAATTCATTCCCGCAATTCAAACACAGCGTGAGTTTTAGAGATGATGCCTTTTCAAAACCATTTCGATTGATATCCATATTTTAATAATTCATTTAACTTTCTAAATAATTTTATTGGTGTTTAGTGTTAAAACAGGTGGAAACCCTCTTCAAACACCTCCGAAAATCCTACATGTTCAAACTAAAAATGTCTAAACACTCTTGCGTTTGACACTTTAACTTGTGTATAATTAAATTAAATTTGACTTGTCAAACAGGTGGCAACCCTTTTCAAAATAAACTACAATCTTATTCAGGATTCACTCCCAGTCCTCGCCTGTTACAGCACAGGGATAGTTTGTTGAGGGATCTTTGAATCAGATCTGTCAATGTTGAGAGATGTTTACCCGAGATAGCTTTTACAATATCACATGCAATTATCTGACCGCCAATATCTTCAAGTTCTCGAAGAAGGCTGTCAACTGCTATGTACCACAGAGGCGGTGATATTACTCCCACTGGGGTGTACCCCTAACTGGGAACCTTTTTATTACTGATTCACCGAATGCTGCGCTTATTTCTCGACCGATTAGCATTCGTTCAATAAACGAGGTTAGTGAATTGCTTACTACCAGATTTGTCAGGGATGGGATAATCGCTGCACGAGATACATTGTTGAAAGCATCCTCGAAGAACGAGCCTGCCTTCCTGGACAGCGAGGGTGTATTCTTTGTAATATAGTGATCTTTCGATTGTATGCACTAAATAATGCTGTCTCGACCGATCTCCGGTCAAGCTTTCATTCGAAATGGTGTTTTAATCATTCAATTAGATGGAGTATTAGAGAAGATATGGCACTTCATTGTCTGGATACAGTGCTTTCAGCTTTTAAACCCCCTTTTTTTTAATAAATAAATAAAATTGAACAACGTCTTTCGCAGGTACGTGAGCTCCTCCCCTTCAAAATGAGATATCATTCGATAAATTTTATAAAATATTAAAGGATATCGTTGACTAACAGAAAAATGCCCTTTAGAAATAAGTATATAAATATATGTAGATTAGGGCTGTGCGATTAATTGATTATTCAAAATTTTAATTAATCATAAAGTAAATAACTCAATTATTCGATTAATTGAAAATTATGATATTCAAAAGTTCTGTTACTAGAGTAACGAAGATTTTGATTAACCAAAAACGAAAGTATTTGTCAATTTGCTTTTTGATTAATCAACATTAGGAGTAAAATGATTTATCAACATTTCAAAGTACTCTTCACATATAAACGAGTAGAAGTCCCTTGATGCTTTGAAAACAACGCGTCGGTTTTCAAATGAAATAAAATAGATTTTCATATACACATTGTTAGAAAGAAGTTAAGCATTTTTCCAGCAAAACTATTTTAACGAGCAAAGTTAATTTTTTGAGTAATCATATTTTAATTAACTCGATTAATCATCGTTTTTAGTAATCAAAAATTAGATTAACCGAATAACTGCTTGCTCGAGTAATCGAATAATCGCACAACCCTAATGTAGACAGATAAGAGCGAGTGTAACTTAGGGTTACCAGGTGACAATTGTCCTACGTCATACGTTCGTGCGCAACATACGACAATCTTTTATCCAGGCGACGATATGTATTTTGATAAAAACGTTTTAAATAAAAAATATGTAAATATACACTGGTTAATTTAAGTTGCATTTTGACAAGTTTGGCTATTTTTACTTATTTTTATGCGATGTTTATTGTTAGGCATTATATACCAAGCACCATATACATTCAAACTTTGTAGAAAAATTATTAAAATTCAACAAATTTTAACAATTTCTGTCAAAAATTTGAAACTTTTCGTTCAGAATTTTTAGAAATATATTGTTATGTAGTTATAGCCACGATAAAAACATAGCAAGGTAGAACCGTTCTCTCATTTTGTCGGCCATGATTTTTTTTTGAAGTTTGCCAGCATTTTAAAATCATATAAAATTGAAAATAAAAAATTGAAATTGTTCGAAATTGTTGTTGCTTGAGATTGAAAATGAAAATGTGTGTGTGAGTTTGTGAGTAAATTTTAAAATTATAATGTTTGGAAACGTCAAGAATTTTAAAAGTAACTCTCAGCGGTTCTACCTTACTATATTTTTATCATGGTTATAGCCTTTTAAATTTGAGTACGATAAAGTGCGACTTTCAAGACGCTAGAAAATCGTGTTGATTTTTAATAATTTTTTACAAATAAAAAGATTTACTTTAGAGGCATTATGCGAAAAATACAAAATGCAAAAATGGAGAACATTTCAGTCATAAAGGAGGACATTTAGTTTTTAGGCAAAAAGGAGGACATGTCCTCCTAAAGGAGAACGTCTGTTTACCTTTTGATCTTTTTCGTTTAGAATGGCTAGGGATTCAAGGTGTTTTAAATCGTCTTTCCCAATTTGAATGAAATAAATAAATCTATACTGATACCAGACATGCACCAACGCTCGTATTTTAGTGTTGTTTTCTTTATTTGATTTCTGTTGCTTTGGGAATACGACTTCAAAACTATATACCTTCGAATGTCAAGGCAATTCAAGGAACGTGCACGTTTTATTGGAAAAAATTTCAGGCAAGACTTTATTTAGAAACAATGTTCAAATTTCCGTCTAGAGTGCATTTCAATCAAAGGTTCTTTCACAATAAAAACAAATCATGTTCATCCTTTTAGAACTATATAAAATTTTTTTTTTTTGCTCTAGAACATTGTTCAATACGATACGGTGGCCTATGTTTGCCTGTGTTCAGATCTTCCTTCCTGTTGGTGCAAGTTAGCGAAAGGCAACTGTATTTAAACTTGGCTGGTAAAACAGCGAAAAATTTGGCAAATTAGTCCAATAAAATTAACAAGCTTATCACCGCTTTACATCTCCTGTTTCAAACGAAATCTATTACATGCTGTTGAAACCCTCAATGCACTAATCAATACATCGCTATCAGCAAAGCCAATAAAACTTATTGGTTATCATTTGATAAAACAAGTAAATAATTTCGCACGAATCCTTTGCTGATTTCTTCACCGTTTGCCATTAGTTAGTTCGCTTTCAAGTGCTTTGTTGGGCAGTTCGCGCAAATTTTGACGACGATATCGACAGACAACCCGAACATGTCAGAGCTCAGCGTACGCCCCGTCAACGAGCATCTGCAGAAAATTGCCATTGAGCAGTTGAATGAGGTGCCCGAAAGCATTCGTGCTGATATTGCGGCGCTACGCACTTGGATAAAACAACAGCCACATTTGCGTGCGCGCGATGATGATCAGTTTTTGATTTCCTTTTTGCGTGGCAGCAAATACAGCTTGGAAAAGGCTAAAAGTAAAATTGATAAATTCTATACGCTGCGCACTAAATATCCAGAATTTTTTGCCGCCTCCAATGCGGATGAAGCAATTGTTAGAGAGATTATTAACGCTGGGTATGAAGCAGTTAAGAAAATTTAATTTCTCATATTAAAATATGTATGTGCATATTTGTAGCTTACTGTTGCTGCTGCCTACACCATTGAATGAGCATGGTCCACGCATTATTCTCATACGCCAGGGTCAACTGCCAGCTGAGAAATATAAGTTTGATGAATTTGCACGCGCGATCAGCCATATACAAGAAATCATAATACGCGATGATGATTACGCCATTATATCGGGAATGGTTTCGATTATAGATGTCGAGCGCGCTACGCCTGCGCATGTCATGCAGATGACACCGAGCATTATGAAGAAGATGTCCGTACAGGCTGAGGAGGCGGTGCCATTGCGTCCCAAGCAACAGCATTTCATACATACGCCAAGTGGTTTTGAAACATTTTTCAATTTACTGAAACCGATGATGACCAAAAAACAACAGGAAAGAGTACGATAGGATATGAATTCAGGGTTAGTTCATAATTAAAAAGTTTTTATTTCGCAGATTTCAGTGCACGCCGGAAAGTTGGATAGATTTTACGATCATATACCACTGCGTTATCTACCTGTAGAATATGGTGGCGATAACGGTAGTATAAAAGAGATTATAAGCTACACTAATAAACAGTTGGACGATTATCGTGAATACTTTAAGGAGAATGTGAACTATGGCACCGATGAGAGCTTGCGAGTTGGCAAACCCATAGATTTTGAGAGCATGTTCGGTGTGGAGGGTTCTTTCAGAAAACTGGAGGTGGATTAGGTGTTTTGTTGTAGTTGAAAATGCAATTATTTTCATAGAAATGTTTCGTTTTATGTGATGATTTTCATAGAAATTAATACATTTACCCTGGATAACCAAAAAATATGAGTTATTTCCCCCCAAAAAAAGTCGCTGTATTTCAATTTGTGTCAATTCTTAATAGCTATTTCGCACTACATTTAATTTTCTTTGCTATTTTTGTAAACAATAAAATTCTTATCAATACCACCCATTTATTTATGCGGTGCTGAAGTCCTCACGTTACCGTCTTCAGTCATCTTATCAGTTCAACGATATGATTAGATCGCGATTAGCAGCAAGAAAAAACTTGCCTAGCACCTGTGCTAGCAAATACAGCGATGGTTAAAAAAGCAGATTAAGTAAATTTTTTAATTTTTAATTGCGTGAGTAGTATATACTTCAAGAAAAAAAATTCGCTTAGCGACCCAAACGGAGAAAATATTAAATTGTATTATAAGCAATTTGAAAAATATCTTACCCGTAATATGGTGCAAAAACAGCTGCTCTTGGGTCAGGGAGCAATTATTTAGAAAAAAATATGGTTGAGAAAAGATACCATTTTACTCAATTTTTTTTTTTGTAACAGTTTATAAATTCCTTATGAAATTTAACTCCTAAATTCATAAAAAACTAAGTTAATTCGAAATACTTTTAAAATAAGTTATTTTTTAACAAATTAAGAATTCAAATTCCTATTTATTTTGAAAAAATCATTCCTTTTTTGTGAAAATTAAAATTTTTTTTAAATTTATTACCAAGAATATCGCCATAAATATATATTAACCGAATTCACAAAAAGAAGGTTATAAATTCGTCGGAATATTTTTTTTATGCATGTTACCGCATGAAGAAATTAACGATAATCCTAAATTTTTATATGAGAATTGAAGTCAGTTTTATTTTTTGCTTAAAAATTAATTGTTTTCAATTAAAGTTTTAATATTTCTTAGTTTTGAAAAATTAGTATTATTTTATTTTAAATTTGAATTAATATTTTTTTTTTATTTACTGTGACTATTTATTTTTTTTTTTTTTGAAAAAACAATTATCAAAGGATTTTTTTTTTTTCAAAAATGTATTACAAAGAAATCTAACTTAATGATTTTTAAATACATATGTAATCCTTTCTTTTTTTATTTAAATTTTTTGAAAAATCACATGTCTGAAAATTTAACTAAAAAATAGTTTTATTTTTAAAACTAATTGTTAAGAAACATTAGGGGTATTCTGGAGTCTTGTAAAGCCCTAGCACGGTGGACGAATGGCACGATAAAACGGTTTTCCTATGGGACAGCTTTGCAAACCGTGCAATCTGTACACCGTGCAAGGGCTTTGCAAGACTCGGTGAATACTCCTTTAATTTAAATCGCGTACCCTAACGGATATGACCCATAAAATAAAACTCATAAATTATTCGCTAAAATTGGATTTTTATTCTTGATTGTTATTTTATGATTTTTCTTCTTTCGAACAAGAATAACCGTTATTTTTGGATTTTCAGTTTTTTCCATCGATTGTCATTATTTTCAGAGTTAATATTTTAGATCACAAAGTATTTAAAGCGATCTCTATTATAACGGTGAAATAAGATCGAAAAAATAAAAACCCAAAACAAGTATTTGTTTAACAAATTTAAGAAAAAAAATTCTGCGAAATTCCACATTTTTAAATCAATCAATTTTTGTAAAAATTAACTTAGAAAACAATTGAAAGTAAAAAGTTTTGCTTGAACAGTTTATTACTAATAATAAGTCCATTAATTTTTATTTCCAATCAAATTTTTTTGAGAATTTTTTTATAATCTTTTGTTTTGAGAAACGATTTTTTTTAAGTCAATATAAATACTGTTAAAGTTGGCTGTGAAAAAACATGGGAGGATTTTTTTTTTTTCAATTTTTCACTAAGGATAAAGCCAAAAATCTTTATTTCATATATAAATTTTTTAAAAAGTGTGTTACGGATTTTGTATAATCTTTTTGTTATTTAAGTATTTTTTAATCAAATTTCAGTAAAAATTTAATTTAAAAAAATGAATTTTATTTTGAAAATCAGATCAAATTTATTTATTTTTATTTTTTCGGTCAAGAATAATAGTTCATTTTGGATTTTTATTTTTTCGATTAATTTTGGATCGATATTTTTTATTTTTGTTTTTTTTTTCGATCATACCATAACCGCTACTTTCAAATTTAATTTGTTGGATCTAAAGTAAGCGAAAAGGTCAACGTTGTTAAATTACCTCTCTATGTGTGTCTAGGGATACCCCCTCCCTGTCTATAGGGAGTGCTTTTTAATGCAGTAAAAACATCATTTTCGAGTACATACTAGTCTACCCAGCGACGAGTCTTCTAAACGATTCATAACAGGGATGCGTCCTTTAATTATAACATAAGGATATAGTTTTGAACAACTGAATAATCGAAAAATGTGCATAGAGTAATCGCGTTTGAAACACCCTTTATCAAACGCGCTTAATTATCACCCGATGAAGCACCCAATACTTGTAAGTGCTAAAAGAGCTTAGTAAGTAACACAAATGCATTTTCTCTTTATCAAACAAATGCAATAATAGTTATGCAATGCAAACCAAAAAACAAACGCATTTGCACTCATTTTATCTTTTCTAATGACAATAATCGTAAAAATTAATGAGACTAATACTAAATTAAACTATCTAACGAGCAGCGTTGGATGGCTGAAGTTCGTAGCAAAAGTCACTTTCCGTTGTACACTCACACACATTTGTACATTGCAATACTATTTGAAGTAAATTGAATAGATATTATTGAGGTCATTTAACGCTTCAGCACCAGTTTGTGAATTAACGCAGTTCAGTGCTGAAGTAATACACAAAATCAAAGCAACGATAGCAACGCTCAAATGTCGCAATTGAATATACGGCCACTACCAGAAAATCTACAAAAAGTGGCAATCGAGGAGCTGCATGAGCGACCGGGGCGCCTACAAGAGGATCTACAGGCGTTAAAGAGTTGGGCCGACAAAGAGCCACATTTGAATGTACGTCCCGATGATCAGCTGTTGGTAGGATTTCTACGTGGTTGCAAATTCAGCCTAGAAAAGGCCAAGTCAAAGCTCGATTGGTTCTATACACTGAAAACGAAGTATCCTGATTTTTACACCATATCCGATGTGAATGATCCGACTGTACAGGAACGCTTGCGTTATGGGTAAAATATGTGTGCTTTATAAGAAATGTATAAAAACTGAAATTTCTTCAACAGCTCTGGTTCGCTACTACCTACGCCATTGCATGACACTGGTCCACGAATTATGTTTATACGCGCCGGCAGTTATCCACCCGATAAGTATACGTTTAAGGAAATAATGGCAGTAGCGCATGCGCAACAAGAACTATGGATACGCGAAGATGATTATGCGGCTGTAAATGGTTTCATTGATGTCTTGGACGTATCACGTCTAACGGCAGCGCATTTGGCACAACATACGCCAACTGTTGTTAAGAAGATGTTAGTTTTTGCCGAACAAGCGATACCTTTGCGACAACGTGCCACGCATTTCATTAATATACCAGCAGGCTTCGAAAAGGTATTCAATATGCTTAAACCGCTGATGCCAGCCAAGCAGCAGGAGCGTGTAAGTGTTGAGTGATAATTTCGATGCAAAGAATATTGTATTAAACGGCAATAACATTGTTTTTATTTTCATCACCCATAGCTTCATTTACATGGCAACAATTTAGAGTCACTGTATGCGCATATACCACAAAAATATTTGCCCAAAGAATATGGTGGTGAAAATGGTTCTATTGAAGAGATTACAGAGCTCTCAGTACAATTCTTCTTGGATAGACGTGATTACTTTATAGAGGATCATAAATATCGGAATAATGAGAAGTTGCGTGTTGGCAAGCAGCCAGACTTTGATAGTATATTCGGCATGGATGGCACATTTCGAAAGTTGGATGTGGATTAATCGAAAAAAAACTATGCCGAATGGTAGTGGATAGTGGATAGGTTTATGAGAGAATTTTCGGACTTACAAGTATATGTAAATGGTGGAGATATACAGATTAATAAAGCAAAGCAAAGATGAGTGAGTTTGTTTAATTTAAAAAGTTATCAAATATTGACATTTGACTTGTTTGTGCGAGGCCTTTTGCTGCCAGAAATACACTCGTAGTTTTGTAACTGCCTGCCGAGGTGAAAGCTCTATTAGAATAAAACAAACGTGTACGTGGTCGGAACAGCAATTGACACAAGGTCGAACTGGGGAAGCACACATGTCTAACCACTAGGCTAAGGCGGCCGCTAATACTTTTATTCAGCTTTCTTTAAAGTAATATCTTAAATTTTGATTGGTTGATATTTAAAATATTGTAATCAATGAGCATTAAGAAAACTAATAAAATTAATCTTATAATTTGTGCAATTCGAGACCATTTAAAAAAGTACCTGCTCAAAACATCATATTTCGTTTTTTATATTACGTATAGAGTTTTATTTGTTTTATGTCATTGTACAGCTCATACGAAACTGTCGTATATTTGTATTTGTAGGTACTAATTTCACACATATGAACATACATATGTATAATAGTATGTTAGCAAAATATTTTATGAAATAGGTACTAGTAATTCAGACATATGTATACATGACAATGTAGAAAACTTGTGCGATTTTAAATTAAACTGCAATTTCCTTCCTCAGCCTTTCATTTAAAGACAAAACATACTACAAGTAGGTATTAGTAACAATCAGTGCGACATTCATAATCATCTCGCCGCTTTCGCCCTTTACGAGTTCTTCTGCTGAATCTTGACAATCACACTCTTCACCTCGGTATAGTTCTGCAACGCATATTCACTATTTTCTCGTCCATGGCCGGACATCTTGTAACCACCGAAAGGCATTTGTGCGCCAAAGGCATTGTATGTATTCACCCAGACTGTGCCGGCGCGCAAACCCTGCACGACATAGTTGGCCTTATCAATGTCGCGTGTGAAAACAGCCGCCGCCAAGCCGTAGTCGGAGTTGTTGGCACGCTCAATCACCTCATCCAAAGTCTTGAAGCGAATGAGCTGTTGCACGGGGCCGAAGATCTCTTCCCTCGCGATCGTCATGTGATCGTGCACATCAGCGAATACAGTGGGTTCTACGAAATAGCCGGGCAGATGGTTGGGACGGTTGCCGCCTGCTACTAACTTGGCGCCTTGCTTCTTGCCTTCCTCAATCATGCCGAGAATGCGTTGTAGCTGCTCTTGATCGACCTGTGGGCCCTGTTCAACATGCAATTCGAAGGGGTTGCCAAGCGTACGCTTCTTGGCACGCTCAGCGCTGCGTTCAACAAATTCATCGTAAATTCTATCTTCGACAAAGGTACGCGAACCAGCGCAACAAGTTTGTCCCATGTTGAAGAAGAGCCCAAAGTGTGCGGACTCCACAGCGTAATCCATATCGGTGTCGGCCAAAACAATATTCGGGCTCTTACCGCCTAACTCCAAAGTGACGCGTTTCAAATTGGTGTTTCCAGAGGCTTGCTGTATGAGTTTACCCACTTCAGTGGAACCGGTAAAGGCGACCTTATCGACATCGTAGTGAT